TTTTAGTCTTTGTCTTAAAGTGTTTCTCCACTTCTTTTTAAAGCTGTATACTTGTTGTTGTTGTTGTTAGATGGCTCCTAACTCTAGCCTTGAGAAGTTCAGGTGTCATCGTTGTTGCACACTGGACTACTAACCCTAAGGTCAGCAACTGAGAATCCTCAGCTGTTCAGTGGGAGGAAAATGAGGCTTTCCTGGAAAGATTTATAGTCTCAGAAACCCATAGGGGGCATTTCTACCCTGTCCTATAGGGTGTATATGAGTCAAAATCGACTTGATGACAGTGAATTTTTGAGTTCTAGTTTTTAAAAAACATATTTAACACATCTGTTGTGGGTCTGCTTGTGCTGTCATTTTTTTTTCATTTCTCTTTTTGCTGGTTCATACTCATGTTTGTTTCCTGCTGTGCCTGCTTCATATATGAAAAAATAAAAAATTTCCAGGAATTACTTGCAGCCTACAATGATGACACTTTACAGAGAATTTGCTTTTGCATTAGCAGTGAAATGTTGCTGAGAGGTTAAGGATAGGGAATTTACACTGGCCTTTTTGGTTTGTTCCTGGAAGTTTGCTTAATTCACACCCTATCCCACCACCAATTTTCTGTTTTTCTCCAAGAGTTGTCACTTAAATTTTATTTTAGAGAAATCTTCCTTGAACTCCCAAACTCACTGGAAGATGCATTTCTTTTGGTTTTATTCTCTGTATGTTTCCCTTATATACTCTGTAATTTTACATTTGTTTATACAACTTTTCATTGTTCTCCTCTGTAAAATAGCCCCATTAGGTTAGGAATCATGCTTCTTTTGATTACCACTATACACATACAGACATATATACATATACATAGTTATAATATTATATAGCTATGTTATATACTATAACATAATTTTTGACATAGTGTGGGTACTCTTATTTGCTGAATGAAGGAATATTATTACCCTTAATTGGAAGAAACAATGTATGTTCTGGGCCATGGTATGCAATGTATTAAGCATTGAGCTACTAACTTTAAGCTCAGGTTCAAACCCACTAGCTGCTCCATTATAGAAAAAATGAGGCTGTCTGCTCACATAAAAATTTATCATTTCTGAAACCCTAAGGAGCAGTTCTCTTCTCTTGTATGTGGTCCCTTTGAATCAGAATAGACTCAATAGCAGTAGATAGGGGCTTAGGGTGAGGAAGATGCTAGTTTACAAGTATTTATTGAACACATGTTAAGTAGCTCTGTATTAGACTAACCACTACTTGTGTGTCAGTTTGTCATACGGTGGTGGCTTGTGTATTGCTGTGATGCTGAAGATATTCAGCCAGTATGTTAAATACCAGTGAGGTCAACCAAGGTCAATAGGTTTCCGCACAGCTTCCAGACTAGGAACAGACTATGAAGAAGCAATAGGCTGTCCACTTCTGAAGGACCTTTGAGTTGGTTTTGACTCATAGTGACCTCATGTACGACAGAACAAAACACTGCCCAGTCCTGAACCATCCTCACAATTGTTGTTATATTCATCATCCTAACCACTGTGTCAGACCATCTTCGTAGATTTTTTTGCATTGACTCTTTATTTTGCCAAACATGATGTACTCCAGAAACATTCCTCCTGATAACATATCCAAAATATATGAGATGAAGTCTTGTTATACTCACTTCCACGGAGAATTCTAGTTGTGCTTCTTCCAAAACAGATTCCTGTGTTCTTCTGGCAGTCCATGGTTCTTTCATCGTTTTCCCTAACACTGTAATTCAAATGCATCAATTCTTCTTTGTTTTTCCTTGTTCAGTATCTGACTTCCACATGCATATGAGGTGATGGAAAATTTCATGGCTTGGGTCCAGTACACCTTAGTCCTCAAAGTGACTTATTTGCTCATTAACACTTTAAAGAGATCTTCTGTCCAGATTTAGATTTACCTAGTACATCCTTGATTGGTGCTTCCATGAGCATTGTGGATCTAAGCAAAATGAAATCTTTGGCAATTTCAGTCTTTTCTCCAATTATCAAGATGTTATTGACAAGATGTTGAGTATTGGTCTAGTTGTGAGGATTTTTGTTTTCTTTACATTGAATTTCCATGTATACTGAAGGCTTCAGCCCTTGATCTTCATCAGGATTGGAAGGAGGCAATTCAATGTAAAGAAACTCTAAATCTTCATAACTTGTTCAGCAGGAAACATTGATGGTTGTCAAGGATTTTGGTATTTTGGATACATTATCGACAGGGATGTTACTGGAGAAGGGCGTCATGCTTGATATGGTGTCTGTGTAAAGACCCTCAAGAAGATGGCTTGACATAGTGACTGGAATAGTGGGTTCAAACATTACAATTGTACAGATGGCCCAGGACCAGGTAATGCTTTACTCTGCTGTACTTTGGGTCACACTGAGTCTGAGTTTAGACAGCACCTAGCAACAACTACATTTGTGAAGAAATACATATCAAACTCAATACCATTGGATTGGTATTGACAGGGTAGAACTGCCCCATAACACTTCATGGGCATAGAAAGCCACGTTGTTCTCTTGTGGAACAGCTGTTGGTGTCTAACTGTTGGCCTTGTGGTTAGCAGTCCAACTCGTAATCACTACACCACCAAGGTCCTGGCTTAGAATATCTGACTTGATAATTTGCCACACAGAGTTTATGAAGTTTGTTTCAGTTTTTCAGCATCTCTAACGTGGTGGCATGGTTATACATTGGACTGCCAAATGCAAGGTCAGCAGTTCGAGACCACCAGTCTCTCTTCAGGAGAAAGATGGGATTTTCTACTCCTGTAAAGAGTTACAGTCTCAGAAACTCAAAGGGACACTTCCACCCTGTGCTGACTCAACAGCATGAACTACTTTTTACCTCTTGCTCTCTTTGAGTAGGAAAATCATGGGTGCACCGAGACGGATGTTCTAAGTAGTAGTATAGGGCTGCTTGCTGTGAATTAGAATCAACTCCAAGGTACACACCAGCAGTAGTAAGATTCTTTTTCCTTTTAAGACAGAATAACACTAAGAATTATCTAAGTTGTCAGTAACCCAATACCATGGAGTTGTTCCAACTTGTACCAACCCTATAAGGCACAGTAGAACTACCCCTTAAAGTTTCTGAGTCTGTGAATCATTACTCAGGCAGAAAGCATTCTCTTTCTCTTCTAGAGTAACTAGTGGATTCAAACGACTTACCTTGAACCTAGCAACCCAGTGCATAACCCACTCTGCCACCAGGGCTCCTAAGTTGCCAATGCGGTCTTATTTTGACTGGGACAGGGAGGGAAAACAACCATTTTCTAACCTTTTAGAACCCTATTAAGATGTTTTAACTTACCGATTTCTATTTTTATATTTATATCATATCAGAACATATGTATTGACAGCAGGATGACCTTCGAATTGAACTCAAGATGTATTACTATCACTCTCCTGAATTTGGTTTTAAAAAATTGGCAGTTCAGAAACACAGGGAATCCAAGGTGGATGATCTTTCAGGACCAGTGTTCTGAGGGGTCGATACTGGGAGGGTAGAGGGAGAGTGGGTTGGGAAGAGCCGATTATATGTGACCTCCTCCCTGTGAGACGGAAACAGAAAAGTGGGTGAAGGGAGTCGTCAGACAGGGCAAAGTACAACAAAGTAATAATTTATAAGTTATCAAGGGCTCATGAGGGAGGGGGGAGCGGAGAGGGAGGGAAAAAAAATGAGGACCTGATGCCAGGGGCTTAAGTGGAGAGTAAATGTTTTGAGAATGATGAGGGAAATGAATATACAAATGTGCTTTACACAATTGATGTATGTATGGATTGTGATAAGAGTTGTATGAGCCCCTAATAAAACGATTTTTTAAAAAAAGTAAATGTTTAGAAAATAATGATGGCAGCATATGTACAAATATGCTTGAAATAATTGTTGTATGGATTGTTATAAGAGCTGTAAGATCCCCCAATAAAATGATCTTTTAATTTTAAAAAATAGCAGTTCATATTGAGGACAAAGTTATGCAAACTTCTTAGACATAACCAAACACCTTGAGGGAATGAATCGCTGGGCCTGGGGGATCAGGACTTCAATCTTGGAGGGTGCCAAGGTCAATTGACGTACCATAAGCTGCAGAGAAAAAATATATTTACATTTGTAAATTCCATATTTTGGCATACTGAAAATGTCAGCCATTTAAATTGCAGCGATCTCTTCCTATCCAGAGGAAAGAAGAATGGTCAAAATCCAAAGACATATAGTAATGATTAGGCCAATGAAATAAAAAAACAAACAAAACTCACTGCCTAGTCCATTCCGATTCCTGACAAGCTTATAGGACAAGGAGTGACATAAAGGCCTGTGCGAATATCAGTCTCCACAACCTTGAGACCAGAACAGCTAGAAGGTACCCAGCACCCACTCCCAACCAATCCGAAAAAGGTCCCATGAGAAGAGGTGGAAAATGTGAAACAAAATTCCAAATCATAAAGGGGACCAGGATTCCTGACCGGATAGAGATTGGTGAAACCCCTAAGACGGTGGCCCTTAGTCACCCTTCAGGTCTGGAACTACACTCATCCTCATGTTAGAATAATCAGTATTTAAGATGAAAAGGAGAGCATTTACCGAAGAACAAAGCGCAGAGGGTTAAGAAAGGAGGATTGGAAACAGGAAACACAGGGACAAAGTGTAATTAAGAGGTGGTACAATCTCTGCAAAATATGGAATTTACAAATGTGATGGTTTAGGGTTGAATTGGTTATTTAAATGGAAAACTACAATATAGGTTGGTATCATTTTTTAAAAACAACATTTAATTCTATTGTGTCATTTTGAAGTAAGTTTCAGATTTTGCATTTGTTTTTTTTCAGAAATGTAATTATGACTTGGAAAAATGAAGTGCTTTTTTCAGTGTAACTGTGTTCATTAATAAATCATTTTCATATTTAAAAATTTGTATAAGATTGTTTTGCTTGTCAATATTATTTAATATATTCTTTAATAATGTTTAGTAAATTTTTATGTTGGTCAATTTACAGGTGAATTATGTAACCTCATTACGCTGGATGTAGCTCACAATCAACTTGAACATCTTCCAAAGGAGATTGGAAACTGCATGCAGATAAACAACCTTGATTTGCAGCACAATGAACTGCTAGACCTCCCAGATACTATAGGTATGAGAAGAGGAAGAAGGCATTGTTATTCTTTGAAAGCTGTCTGGATATTAAGAAAACTAGCTTTTGATCCATTTTGCTAATGAAAATTTGAAAGAAAAAACAAACAAACAACTCACTGCCATTGAGTTGATACTGACTCAGGACAACCCTATAGGACAGGGTAGAACTGCCTCTGTGGGTTTGCGATACGGTAACTGTTTGCGAGAATAGAAAGCCCCATCTTTCTCCACTGGAGCAGCTGGTGGTTCCAAACTGCTGACCTTGGGGATCCCAGCCCAACTCATAACCACTGTGCTACCAAGGCTCCAATGAAAATTAAGGGAGATCAAAGTTTAAAATTATGGAAGTAGTCAAACTTTTAAAAGATAATCTTTTAGAATTTCTTTTTGTTTTCTGGCAAGTGAAAAACAAAAAAGATTTTAGAAATAGATTATTGTGCCAGAGGCATGGCCCATCATAATTCTGTTTTTAAAAATAACAGATCAAGTGAATTTTTACTCATTTCAGAAGCTTGTATGCTCTTTGTATTGAGTGTGGTTCCTTCTTTGACTAAAGTAGACCATAGGAAAAACTAATCCAGTGCCATCTAGTATTAAAACAAAGTGTCCTCATGTGTAAACACTGAGGAAGTAAGTGCTGTCTTGAACTGTAAAGTGTGTTTCAAAGACCTAGCTAAACTGTAAACTGTCCTATTGAACTAACTGGAACTGTAGTATATACTATATATTGTCTTATTTTCTAAATGTCATAAATTGATACAAATAGTAAATAGAATTTAAAATTTTCTTGATACCTTTTTAGTTTCTGGCATGGCATAATGATAACACAATGCTTATTTGGAAAAATTACATTTGTACTTAATGTACATAATTTTTGTAATTAGTACTTCAGATTATATGTAAGTCATATGACATTTTATGACACCCCCCCACCCCACCCCCCGAAAGTTTCTTGTTTGCTTGTGTCAGGTTCTGAAGTGGGTGGGTGGGAGGCACTTTAATCCATCCCTTGTTCAGTGCTTGAAATTTTTCTGGTCCTCAAAGTGATTCAGACACAGATTGTAGACTAGTTGGAGGGATCTTTTACTTCCAGTTCACCCTTAGTACTAGAGTACACCCTGCAGGGTCTCCGTTTAAGGCAGGCTATTGAATAATAGGATCCTCACCTTGGCAGGCTCTAGATTTTGGCTTGCCAGAAATATGCCTTGCCCTTTCAGCTGCATCTTTGGGTGTGGTAATTGCTCTTAAAACAAATTGTCTCCGTTGTTTACTTGTTTTCTGGTTCCTGGTCCGTTTTCTGGTTTGATAATTACTATCTTGTTCGTGTTGTGATGTTTTAAAATACTTTTTATTGTGAATAAGTTGAGGATTTACAGAGCAGATCATTTTTGTATTCAACAGCTTACCAAACCTCCTCATGTCTTGCCTTGCCCTGTTTCCGTCATTGTTTGCCCATCTTCCTCCTCCTGGTGATGATCTTTCCCTTCACCCAAGTTAACACTGTCTACACTCATGTATTTTCCAAGTGGGTGATACCATCTCCTAAGCAGGGGTCCTCAAACTATGGCCCGTGGGCTACATGCCGCCCGCTGAGGACATTTATCCGGCCCACCAGTTGTTTTTGACCCCCCCCCCTTTTTTTTTAACTTCAAAATAAGATATGTGCACTGTGCATAGGAATTTGTCCATAGTTTTTTTTAAAACTATAGTCCGGCCCTCCAACAGGTCTGAGGGACAGTGAACTGGCCCCGTTTAAAAAGTTTGAGGACCCCTGCCCTAAGGGGTGCTGGAATTATCTTGGGCAGGTGGCCCTACAAAGGCAGATACCCTAGATTGTGGGCTAGAGTGCTAAGCTTTTAATTGCCAGGGCGTGCTGAGTAATATTTTCTGATAAGGGAGTAGTAGTTCAAATAATTTGGGGGACTTATGTCTAGTCTAACTATCAAAGTCTGTTTACTTAAGTGTGAAACTTTTCATTTTAAAAATAATAGTCCCATATAATATTGGCCCTTTTGTGGTGAACTGATTTCACTCAGCATGTCCTCTAATTCCATCCATTTCATGAAGTATTTTACATTATTCTTTAATGTTACAAAGTATCCCATTGTGTGTCTGTGCCGAAGTTTGTTTATCCATCCTTCTACCTGTGGGCATTTAGATCATTTCCATCTTCTTGCTATTGTGAATAGTGCTGCGATGAATGAACGTGGACATGCATATACAGTATCTGTTCAATGCTGTGTTCATTATTTCTTAAAATATATACCAAGTTGAAGGACTGCTAGCTCATATGGTATCTCTATTCCTAGGTGTTTGAGGAAGCACCACAGCACTTTCTATAGTGGTTGTACTGTTTTCCAGTCTCACCGGCAGTATATGAAGATCTCAGTTTCCCCACCCGGTCTCTGGCATTTGTTATGCCCTGTTTGTTTAATTTGTATATTTTGCTTCTTAAAAACTGTGGTCTCACTGCTGGGGTGAAGTGTGCTATCTCATTATTTTGATTTCTGTCTCTTGGATGACTAATAACAGTGAGCATTTTCTCATATGTTTGTTGGCTACCTGAGTATATTCTTTGGTGAAGTGCCTGTTCATGTCCTTTGCCAATTTTAAAAGTTAGATTAGTTGTCTTTTCCTTTTGAGATGTTGAAATTTTGTCTGATTGTTGTTGGATAGATCATTGCCAGATTTTTCCCTCTAGTCTCTTTTCTCTTCTGGTGAATGAAGCCTTTGATACACGTGTCTTGTTTTTCGGGAGTTCAGAGTCATCTATTTGTCTTCTGTCTTGTGTATCTTTATTGTTCTGTTTGATAGTGTGTTTATGCCATGTATCAAGGCCTTTAAGTTTGTTCTTATTTTTTCATTTATGAGCTTTATAGTCTAGGGTTTATATTAGGTCTTCAATCCATTTTGAGTTCATTTTTGTATACAGAGTGAGGCATGGGTCCTGTTGTCTTACTCAGCAAACGGAAATCCAGGTTTGTCAGCACCATTTCCTGAAGAAACTGTATCTGTTTTTTGAACCATGTGAAAGTAGTGTGTATTCAAAGCAAGTAAGTCTAGCCTTTAAAACTTCTGCCAGAGGGAACCAGTAGAAGTCTGAGGAGCCTGCCCAATCCCAACTATGTGGACAGCCTCCCATCCCCCCAGAAGAATTTACTTCAGAGGACAGCGCTGAAGCTACAGGTCAAGGAGAGGGACATGTCTGATCAGAGCACACGGGAGAAGATGAAGGGGGAGGAAGAGAGAGTGGAGCACATCCTGATCCACTAAGCCTTGAAGACGATATCCCTGCTCAGAGCAGCCAATGCAGAGAGGACCATGTGGCCGGCCCCACTGTGAGACATGACATCCCTCACTGACTGCCCTACTGGGGACAACACTGGAGACACAGTGTGTGAATTGCACCCGACCTGACCCCACAACACCGAGGCAAAACACTAAGGGGGTGCAACAGAACAGCAAGGGGAGCACAGCAAGGAATTCCCAAGGGAATACCAAAAATAGACTTTGGGGCCAGGGCATGGCATCCCATCAGACTCAACAGGAAAACACTCCTAAAGGTCAACAGACAGACCTTCAACTATTTACAGGCTTTTATCTTTTTTATCTTAGTTCACTGATGCTATACTGTTCCTCCCTTTTTCCAACCTTTCCAACCCTGTTCCCTGCCCAACATACAAAACCACTGATACGGTTTCTGTCGCTGTAAATTTGTATTATCTCGAGTTTGAGAATCATATAGTCTGTACTCTTCTTTCATCTGATTTACTTACTTGACAATTCTTTTGAGATTCAGCCAAGTTATGGTGTATATTAGTAGTACGTTCCATTTTATTATTGATGATTCAATTTTATTAATCTATCAGAACTTATTCTTTATTCATGCAGTCACTTCTAGTTTTAAGCAATTATAGATAAGTCTGTTATGAATATTCATTTACAAAAAGGACATATATTTTCTTTTCTTTGGGGTAAATGTCTAGGAGTAGAATGGATCATATTGTAGGTGTATGTTTAACTTTTTAAGAAATTGCCAAACTGTTTTCCAGAGTGGTTGTCCCATTTACATTCCCACCAACAGTGATTTGAGAATTCCAGTTTCTCTCTATCCATAACAACACTTGATATGGTCAGTTATTTTAAGTTTATCAGTTTTATTAAATATGTAGCAATATGCTAGAATTTTAAACTTGCACTTTCTAATGACTACATTTTGTGTTCTTTTTATATGCTTATTTGTTGTCTGTATATCTTCTTTGATGAAGTTCTAGTGAAATCTTTCACACTTAAAAAAATTTGAATAGTTGTGCTTTATCACAAACACACACAAAAATTTGAATAGTGTGTTTTCTTATTGTTGTATATATTCTGATATGGGTCCATTATCAGGTAATATGCTTTTGACATTTTTTTCTCAATCTCTGGTTTGAATTTTCAAAATTTTAGAAAGCCAAACTCAAAACAAAGCAAAATCCAAACTCACTGCCATGGAGACATTTCTGACTTAGCAAGAGTTTAGGACAGAATCAAATGCCCCATAGGTTTCTCAGGCTTTCAGACTTCATGGAGCAAAAAGCCTTCTCTTCCTCCCCTTAGAACACCTAGCTGTTTTGAACTACTGACCTGCAGTTAGCAGCCCAATGCCCAGTACACCACCAGGGCTCTTCTTGTGAAGAACAGATGATTTTAATTCTGGCAAAGACCAATTATCCATTTCTTTTTTGATGGATTATTCTTTTGGTATCATAGCTGAAATAGCAATTTATCCAATTTAGTCTAACCCAAGGGCAGAATGATTTTCTATAAGTTTTATCGTTTTAGGTTTTATATTTATGGATTCATTTTGAGTTATTTTTTGATTCAGTTCAAAATATGACTGATATATATTTCCATTTAATTAAATATGGATAGACAATTATTGTAGCACTGCACTGGCCTTGAAAAGGACATCCTTTCTCCCCTCTTTTGCCTTTGAGTTTTTGGCAAAAATTGGTT